GCGACTTTCACCGCGGGGTGAGCAGCAATTTTGAAACGAAAAATTTTGGACGGGGGAGGGGAGATGGCGTGGGTGGAACCGATCTCCGGGTGGAAGTCCGGTTTTCCGAAAGAAGAGTGGAGGTTTGCGCGGTTGTCAACGGGAGAACGGTCGTACCACGTGCAGCCTCGGCGCCACGTGGTAAGAATGTGTTCGGCATGCGTGCTACTCTCCCGTAAAAAGAAAAAAGAAAAAAAGAAAGGAAAAAAAAAAACGGTCGCTCGCCAAATCGCGTGGTAAAAATAGAAAGCGGCAACAAGTGGTCGCGTGGACCGTTGCCCCTTTTCGATTCGTTCGTCGACGAGTTTCTTGAACCGACGAAACTTGGATCTTTGATCGAGAATCGTCGACGACAAGAAGAAGAAGAAGAAGAAGAAGGAACTGAAAAGAAACTCACCGCCAAAGTTTGCCCAAAGTCTTGGACAGCTCCGCGTTGTGAAGTTGAGGATATTGATCGGCGAGTATTCTCCTCGCGGCCTGAGCCCACACCATAAACGCGTTCATCGGTCTCTTCACGTGGGCTGCTCTTTTGTCACCGGAACCCCTGCAATATTCGAGAGGAATTTGATTATCCCCGTTTCGAAACAATTCCAATCCAATCCAAGATTCTTTTCCTTCCTCGGGAAAAGATCGATGCAAAAGGATCGATCCTCGCGTAATCGTTGCGTCCCCGAGCGGAACGGCGGCGGCATGCTGAAAACCGGCCTTAAAATAACACCGAGCCTGCCAACGGGTGACGAGCAGGAATGGACGCGCGCTGGTATCCCTTTCTTTCCTGGAAGATGACTTCATAAAACCCATTTGCCCGGCCCGGGATCGGGGATCGACCGAAGTGACTGACGTGACTCTCCCCCTCCCCCCTCCTCTCTCAAGTACGAACCCTTCTCGCGCTGTTTTCTTTCTTCGGGATTAATAATCGAGGATCCTCCTCGCGTCGAGGATCTTTGACCGCTCGCCCCGCTGGAGGAGGACGCGCGCGGAAGGAATCGTGGCGAGGAGAAGGGCGGGAGGCGGCGACGTTTTCTAGGCGACGCGATACACCGCGGAAACGTTTCGGGGTCGAAATCACGGCGTGGATGCCGGCTGGGTGAGAAGGAGGAAGGGGAGGGGAAGACGTGGAAAAAAATTTGAGGCTCCTCCTATGCATATATTTCGGCCTCTTTGAAATAAGAGGGGCGTTAAATCCGTGTGTAAACCCGCGAGGAGCCGTTGGTAATTAGCGCCGGTCCACTAACGAGGGTTTTCACGGGAGTCGCGAGTCACTTGGGTGTACACGCGGTTTACCTAGATACGCGAAAAAAATCTTTCGGTCTTTGCACCTCGTTTACCGTGCTTTTGCGGAATAGCACGCAGCCGTACTAATTTGAAAAATTATTTTTCTATCTCTCTCTCTCTCTCTCTCGCTCTGTTCTCTGCCTTCTGTAGGTTTTCGCGAAAAAAGAAGGGGGGGGGGGGAGAAAAGAAAAAAAAATGTCTCGGAAGAGCACTTATTTACATATCACTTAGGTAGGAACGAGCGAAAGGAGACGCGCGATAATTCGAGTGCATTCTCATGGATTTCATGGGAATTAAAACTAGAGTCGATTTTATCGGGCTCTATCGTTGGAAATAAACATCGTACCCCCTTTAGCTTACCCCCGAGATAACCCCGTATAATTGAGGGTTAGCGCGATAAGCCGTCGCGCATAGCGATACTAGCTCGGAGATTTCAACCGTAACTCGCCGAGGGAAATTTTCCGTCGAGCGAAACATACCGCACACCTTACCGCGCGTTCCGTACCTCGTTCCAACGAGGGAGATTCGGCCGAGTTTTTTCGTCGAGTTACGTTAAATCCTTTTTATCGCGTATCGATTTTATCGAATCGTCGTGACGATCGTCGGTCGCGACGTAATCATCGATCCCCTGCGAAAAGAAGAAGAAGAAAAAAATAGAAAAAAAATCCCGCTTCCCACGAATCGCGATCTATCGGCGAAAATAGAAACGGGAGAGGAGACACACTCGAGATCGGGCATTAATTAGCTAATTTGCGTTAATTGGCGACCGAGGACATATTTCCACGAGCCGTTTCCCAAGCCGAGGAAACCAGTGCGTCATAATTAAGTTAGCGTTTCGTATTTTTAAAGTTCGTAACGCGCGTCTTTACACCCTCTCTCCTCTCTCTCTCTCTCTCTCTCTCCCTCTCTCCTTCCTTTCCTTTCTTTTTTCTTTTCCTTTTTTTTTCTTCTTTTCCTCGCGCGTTAAACGTTCGGCGTTAAAAAAACTCGTCTTCGCCACTCGCGATAACGACACTCGCTAAATACCATATACGCGATCCCGTATATACGCGAGGGAACGAAAGAAGAAGACGGAAAAAAGACTGTTCTCCCTTTTCTTCCTCCTCCCGATATCGTTATATTGTTAGTACGCGAGAGACGATACGATAAGAGAAGATCGCGTGGAAGCGTGGAACGCGGCTTTTTAAAACTTACTTACTTGGTGGCAACAGGTACCAAGGTCCAATCGTATCCCTGAAGAACTTTGGTAACCGCGGCGCTGATTCTCTCGCCTCCGTTCGCCGCCACCGTGCCGCTCATATTTCCCGCTTTTCCATTGTTGTTCCCGCTCCCATTGTTACTCCCGTTGTTATCGATGTTGTTGTTCCCGTTGATAGCGGTGGAACCGTTGGCGGAATTGGCGACAGGGGTGGCGCTCGAGGAGATCGAACCCGATGCCGCCTCTCCTCCCATAATGTCGTTCATCTTCTCGATTTTCCGTTCGACCGTTCGAAAGGGAAAGGGACGAATTCTCTCGAAGGGATTTATCGCGCGCTACCAGACCCGTTCATCGTTCATCGAAGGAGAAACGTAAGCGATGCTTGCTCGATTATTAATCGCAATTACCATTTTATCGTTAACGCGCGTCACTTCCGTTTTTCGCCTTTTCAGCTGCGTCGCGGCGATTCCCTTTCTTTTCTCCTCTCTTGTTGTCGACTGTCGTTCTCTCCGTTCCCTCCGACGCCTCGGTATCGCGGCGGCAATACGCGCACGTTTGTCACGTTTAATTAATTCTTCGCTCGATTACGAAGCGAGCAACTGCAACGAGCGTGCATCTCGAGCCGACGGCAACTCGTCTCGTATCCTATCTTTCCTTCGCTTTTTCCTCGCCGTACCAGTCTCGTCAACCGAGCCAATTTTAATCTCCTTCTTTCTTCTTCTCCTTCTTCTTCTTCTTCTTCTTCTCCTTCTTTTCCTTCTCCTTCTTCTTCTTCTATCGCTTCTCGACTTTATTTCTTTCTTTCTTTCTTCCCTTCGTTACCGCTATCGGCTACGACTGGTCTCGACGTTGAACGTTCGACTATACTACGTGCTATCTATAATACTCGTCGAAATACTTTCGATGTAATACCACTGCCGAATCGAAGGCTCCGATTTTCTTCCGGGAGATCCGGGACAGTTTTTCTCTTTCGGCGCCTTCGTAACAAGCTTTCTTCAACGATGCTTTTTCGCGAGAATCACTGTGCCGGATGCGCGATATCGAGGCTCCCTTCTCGCCCGAAAATTGCCGATTTCGAGGAATCGGGGAACGAACACCTCGTGAAACGAACGCACTCGGATCGGCGTCGACGAAGGAAACGACGACGAAGAAAACTCGGCGATCACTCGACGGAGCACAAAACTGTCGAACGGTTACGGTTATGGAACATCGCGCTCGCGTTTGTCCGATGGAACGGGGGGAAAAAAAAAAAAAAAAAGAGAACGAGGAGAGAGAAGGGGAGAGAGAGAGAGAAAGAGAGACGAGCGCGAGACGAGGATTTCCAGTTGCTTGCGCGATCGACGCTCGAGTGAGGTGGTTGAATCGCCTCGGGGCACTTTCCACCGATCGCTCCAACAGCGACTGCTAGTTGGGGGCGGAGCGACGGGCCGAGGAGCTGCCAACACTTGTTGCTTCGCGATCGTGCCCACCGACCAACCTCGACACGAGGGGAAAGGGTCTCTTTCGATGCTTTGCCCGACCACGATCGTCCGACGATCGAGCAGAGATCTCGTTCTTCTCGTCTCCACCGAGAGATCGCCTTTTCACGCGCCACGCTCGAATCAACCATCGATCTTTCTTTCTTTCTCTCTCTCTCTCTCTCTCTCCTTCTCTCTCTCTATTTTCCGAAACTATTGTATCTCGTCGAGTCGCGAGACGATTTGGATCGTTGTGATTCCGATCGAGGAAAGAAAATTGATCGAAAAACTGTATATATATATATACGATGCGTATCCGATTGTAAATGGGATATCGATAGAAAGAAGAATCGAATTCTCCATCGACTGTCAGCCCTTCTCGATAATCCCCGCTTCCTATAGTATCCGTTTATTTCGGAATAACCGTGCGATCTCTCTCTCTCTCTCTTTCTCTCTCTCGCTTCTCCTCGAGAGTTTCTATGGCCACGATATCCTCCGGGAGTAGGACCAATCGGGTTTCTTCTCGTTCCACCTACTTCTCCTCTCCTTTCTCTGCCTCTCTCTCTCTTTCCTCCTCCTCTCACCCTTTCCCTCGCTACCTCTCTCTTCGTTCCTCCCACGCAACGGTGCTTATTGGTCGGCCAGTCGTTGGCAATAACTACGTAGCAAGGAGGAGCGTGCAATTTTCCTGGCGANCCAAGCGCGGAACGCGTCTATGGTCGCGGCTCGTTCTCTTCGAAAAGAATTTTCGGCCGCTCGCGCTCCGCGCTTCGTGCCAACCCTTCGAGCTTCGAGGGAGGAAATCGAAAACGTGGCGCGTGACGCGGTAGACGAGGATGACACGGTGCCGATTCGATGACGATGCGGAATGCAGCGTACAACTCGTGTCACCGTTGGGGGTCCGAGAGTTGCGGCGCTCGTCGCCCGGGGGCCTATCGTCTCCTACGGCCCGTATTCCTTTCAACTGTCCGACGCGAATCCGAATCCGGGACCCCCCCTCGGCAATCGGTGAAATCGCTTTTCCATCTCTCTCTCTCTCTCTCAACGTCGCGTCATCCTCCGTATACTTACTTGCGTTACCTAATCCCATCTTACCTTCCTTGCTAATCGTCGCTGGAAAGGAGAGGAGGTTTCTTTTTTTGGGAACGTTCCACGATTTCTCGTGGAGCGGAAAAGACGTGGAAAGAAACGAAACCGTAAAAATCGAGACGCGTGTTTCCCTGAACGGCCCTGAAACGAATTCTCTCTCTCTCTCTCTCTCTTTCTCTTTTTCTCTCTCTCTCTCTCCCTTCCTTTTTCGTTGGCGTATATACCTAGCGAGAGAGAACGAAAGCACATATTGGTGCCACGTGCTGCGCCTCGGGATGTTTATCCCAGGAAGAGCAAAATTCCGGCTTGCTGAAATCAATATTATTGTTCGCGGTCGGCTAAATTTGAATCGCGATTCGGTTGCAACGCGGTAATGCCGCGCGCGTGCATCGCGAAAAGCGTCGCAGAGAATTATTAACGGAGAGGAGAAGGAACGATCGACGAATCGAATTCCACCCTATCTACGTATAGGTGTGGTAGTAGTAGTAGTAGTAGTAGTAGTAGTAGGAGTGGTCGAAAAAAAAGAAGAGGAGGAAGAAGAAGGAGGAAAAAGAAAAGGTGGTGATAGAGCGGCGATAGAGCCGCGGCGTCACGAATAAAAAAACGTAAAAACCGATTCGCGAACGTAATTCGCCCGAGTGTCTCGAGCATTTCCGAGGGGGCCGAGCGCGGCGTTTACGAGCGAGCAGCGAGTTAATCCTGCAAAGTGCGAGCAAGATGCCTCCTTTGATCTCGCACAAAAGCCGCTACACGGCATTGACCGTGGTTTATATACGCTCGTGTATGGGCCACTGTCTTTGCTAGCTCGCTCATTCATTAAATTCGTTGTATAATTAGGCTCGACAGAAAGACGGAGACTGTCAACCGATCATTTTCCCGTGCAACGACGAAAAGCGAAACGAGTTTCAAACTCGCTCCTCGATTTATGTCCTCTCCGCGTGCATTCTCCGTGTTCGACCATTTCTTCGCCCCCTCCTCCTCCTCCTCCTCCTCCCTCTACCCTCCCTCGATCACCCTTCTTTCTTCTTTCTTCCCCCGATGTAGCTGGCAAGAACGTAAAGTCACGTTCACCGCGATCTAATTATACGGGCTGCGAGAGGCTACGAACGCCACGGAACACAGAAATTTGCGAACGCGATTATTTTCATCCGTGGAGGAGCGAGCGAGCGAGCGAAAAAGAGAGAGAGAGAGAGATACGTTTTGTTTATTCGAACGACGGTCAATTTCGGTTCGTCGGGATACGTGGATTGTTGAGGAGTCGATTTCTCGGAGAGGAAAGAGAGGAGAGAGGAGAGTACGAAGGATGGGATGGAAATGGAGGAAAAGTTTTGGAAGTTGGGGGGGAAAAAAAAGGGAATCGAGATGGTGCGGAGATGGCGCGGATCGCACGGTGGACGACGATCGGATTGGAACGCAGGATGGACGAGGCGAAGGAAGGATCCGTGGCGAGTAGTCGTGGACGGGAAGAACAGAAAAGGAACAAGATCCTAGATATCCCCCACCTCGGACGTAGAGGTGGTCCACGGAACCGCCTCCGCGATCTACCATCCAACGTTGGGTGCGTGTGCCAGACGTGTGCTCGTCCGTTTCTGCCTCTTTCGTACGGACCAACCTGTGCGGTGCACGTTCCCTGAATGAACCTTAGCATCCTCGTCGATCCGCGTTCGTCTTTCTCCTCTAGTCGGTCGGACGGTCGGTTAACCATCGGAAGTAGTTGGTATCGCGGCATCGCAACCAAGATTCTCTCTTATTCTTCTCCTCTTCGATCGACGGGTTCCAATTTTATTATCTCACGTTTCGTATCTCGGCCACGGATTTTATTTCGTCATCGAGAATCCGAAAGGAGAAGAAGAAAAGATACATACATATATATATATGTATATATATTCCATGCGTTGAAGACCGCGAAACTCGGATACGCGTGAACGATATTCGGATCGAGTGAGATAACGAGGGAAGAAGAGGAAGAAGAAGAGGAAGAAGAAGAAGAAGAAGAAGAAGAAGGAGGAGGAGTTGAGAAAGAGTGGCGGAAATCGATGGATTAGACCGATAGGATCCCGTCCGGTCCTCGAGAGGAAGGACAAGGGTCGGTTCGTGATAAATTACGGCACGATAACCTCGGATTAATTGGTCCAATTGGTTTCTTCGCTACGAGATTCGATTGCTCGCGAACCACGCGGTGGCTCTCGATCGCGTTTCACGCGAAGGAAGAGGAAGAAGAAGAAGAACAGTGCGGTTCGAAGATAAATCGGCAACGCGATCGAACAACAATCGATTGTCCGCGTCGCACGAATGTGAACGAGTAACCGTATCTGTATCGTACAAGTAATCTTTTTCCACGACCGAGGATCCAGGGGGAGGGAGAGATGGAAAGTTATCATCACGGTAACGACGTATCGGGCACGCCGGAAACGGAAGCCGGACCATCGAGCACCGAACAATGCAGCAACGAGCAATGCGCCAACTCGTTGGACGACGCAGTCGGCAAACTGCTTCAAGGTTCGCTCTCATCTCGTCGTCGTCGTCCAACAATTCGACGACTCCCTTTATCGGAATTTTACAGATTCTTTCTTTCACCCATTTTACTCGTTACCCCTATCTCCCCTCGCTTATTTTTCCCTGCTCGTCGATCGAACGTCGTCAGTTGGAAAGATAAACGTCGGATACCTACTTACTTGCTCGCTTATATATCGCACGGTACGCAGATAACGCGAGATATAAAATGGATTAAATCAATGCAGCGGGAAACGCAGCGGGACTCGTCTTTTTTTTTCTTTTTTTCTCTGCCGATAGTTTGGAGGACGAATATTCGAGCTTCTCCCTAATCTTTTAAAGGACGATTTTATAATTGGCGATGAAACTCGGCTTACGGTGATTAATCCCCCGCGATACGTTTGGCCGGACGTTTGTGGGGAGGGCGGAAAATACGTGGGGTGGGGAAGAGGGGCGAGGAGGAGGAAGAGGTCGCGAAAAGACGATTTCGAGGAAGATTGGGAAGGGGCAGGTGCTGCGAACAGAGCGAAACCGCTGAACGTTTGCCACCACCGACGCTAATTATGTTAGTACGAAATTAAATCCGAGACATCGAGGCTCGAGCGAGAGGTTGACGAGAGGGGCACAGAGAAGATGGGGTGGGGAAGGTGGGGTGACCGAGAAGAAGAGGAGTAATGGGAGCTCGGCATGATTTACGAGGGCCGGCGTTCGTCTCGTTCAAACTGCGCCTCCTTCTTCGAACGCGGTTCGAGAAGGGCAGAAAACGTATCTTCGAACGAGACGCGCGTCATCCATTCTCCTCTAATAGCGCGACTCGTGTTTCAAACCGTGCCTCATCCGACCTATCCATCGAAATTCATCATGGGAATGCACGAATCCCTGCCTTACTCGTCCTTCCCTATTTGCCAATCGATTATCGGCCAAGGGATTAATAAAGGCGGTAGATGGATCGTTCGATCGATCGAAACGTGGCGAAGCGAACGCTGTTGTCGGTCATCGACGACATCGAGAGAGGAGGCGACGATGCGTTCAAACGCGTATCGTGTCCCCTCCTCTTTAACGAGGATCCCATCCGCGTGGTAATGGGAGCTGATTTGTACAGAAGTTAATGTAGCAAGAGTCGACGACAGGTCGGCATTGACAACCGAGATACCGAAACACACCGGTTCATTCAGCGGTTCCACAATCCCTTATTATGCACTACTCGCGTACTCTATCCCTCTCTCGCGCCTCTCGCGCCGTCGAGTCATTCATCCTCCTTGGAAAAGTAGAAAAGTTCTCTCTCCTCCAAATTCTAATCCCCCTTCCTTTTCGCTT